TATTTTTTTTTTCTCTATGTATTTCTTTTTTGTATTACATTGCATTTAATAGTAATATATCTGTTTACAATAAAAGAGTAAAATAAAAATTTTCTTATAAGACTATAAATAATTTATATCATACAATTTATTGGTTTTGTATTTCAGAACTTTTTATCTTAGAGTTACATTAGCACTTGTAATATTTTAATTAAGATTAGAAAAAGAATTCTTATATTCTTATTAATGAAATATCTTAAAGCAACATACGTACGTTTGATCATGTGATTTTCTAAACTAATTTCTATAAAAAAAAATCATAAGTTTTGAGCTAAGTCTCTTCGAAATATAACACTTTCAAGATATAGATCCCCTCTTCCATGAAGTACTCAAATACTTCTAGGAATTTTATTAGAACACTAAATATTATCTATAGGTTACAGCTGATCAAACCATAAGACGATGATCATTATAAAAGAATGTGTTTCATTGGTGACAGATATGTAAAATTCATTTGAACTACTGAAGAAGAAAAAGCAACTAAATAATTAAGTGATTTACGAAATGTAATTTTTTATGATGATCAAGTTCATAAACAAACAAAGGAGTTGATTTTGGATGCTGTGTTTAACATGCTTATTTTTTAATATTAAATTGCATAGGAAAAAGTTGTGCTGCAAAACTAGCCGAAATTTGATTTGTAGAAAATATTTATGTTGCATTAAAAGAAAAGCAACACGACTAGGAAAACAAAAATAATATTGAACAAATGATAAACAAGAACAAAAAGTAATAGAAAAATTTAGTGTTTCTTGATATTAACGAATGACAAATAGTATATCAGCACTATTAAAACTACTAATTGATTATTATGGTAATCAAATACGTGAAAGTTGACATATGTTTCGCTTTTTTATTTCGAAAAGTTTATTTCGAGTTAAAACTATTAGAAAATCAGATCAAGAAAATAATATATAATAGTATTGTTACTGTTTCTCGTCCATAGTCAAAGCTATAAACTTGAAAATTCGCATCTATTTAGTACTAAGTAGATTTAGTAATCTGCCAAAATTTCAAAGAGTTCGTCTTTGTTGAATGCGAGAGTGATGAATTTTAAATCGTTTCAGAACTTCTGAGATACTTTTCATGTATTTCTGAAAATCTTGAGATTGTACATGAATTCTATGAAATTTTTTGTCATATAGAGAAGTTGTTCTCGTATCGAAAGACAAGAGGAAATAATCAACTACGATTGTAAGGTTCTCTCGTAAACTTAATCGAGAAGAAAAAAAAAATACAAATTATTGTTCATGAATCACATGCTAATGATGTTTAATTTTGCGGAAACTTCGCAATAGTTTTACATTCATCTTCACTATACAATGGCGTATATGTATAAACCATACGACACAATTATTTTCATTGCATAACATATAATAGAGCTAGTAAGTCTAGCTCAAGCATCTCATCAATGATAAGTGCAAGTTGTTGAAATGATAATTCAGCAATAATAATATAACTATCATTTGACGCAGAAGAAGATGAACACAAGAGTTTCTACAATATGGAAAGAACAAAAGCAGCCATCTACTTGTGGTTTTCAGTATTAAAAACAACAATAAAAAGGAAATACTTCAGCCTGGTAAATAATCTTGTAAAAAAAAAACCTAGATACATATACTTTGCGTTAATAGAAAGAGAATAGTTTTCTTAATCGAATGGTTATATTTCAGATAAAACTTGAACGGAAAACTTTTAAACCTAAAAGTCTGACTTAAATCCAGATTTCCAATGAACTGGATATCATTGTATTTTAACCTTATTGTTACGTCGAATGTGAAAAACTACAGGTCAATAACTGATTTCGTTTTTCAGATATTGAAGAAACATTCATGTTTGATATTATTTTGGCAGTATTAATACATGATACCTTTTTATCTCAGTTAGAATCATGCTAAACAATGAAATTCATCGTCAACAATCGCGCATAAGGTATGTGACAAAAAATAGAACCATTAAAATGTCAAAATACTGAAAGATATTCAAGAATAGTGCTTAATCAACAATATATATTTCATCATTTTTATTAATAATAACAATTTCTTAATATAATCGATTAAAAGGAAAAAGAAACAATCTGAAAAGATAATCATCATATATCGAATTCTATTGAATAAAAGACAATTCAGATACTACTTTGTAGGTTTTTATGACAACAATTAATAGTAATTGGAACTTTTCCAATGGAACATGATCTTATAGATTGATTATGTTTGTTGATAATACTGCGTTTAATATATTTATTTTATGTTGATTTCTATTGTTTGAAATCTATTATTCTGTGTATGTTCATAGTTATTATTTATAAAATAATAATACTCTTAAACATACATTGTTTATTTTCGTTCAATATAGAAATTGCCGTTTTGATGAAAATTATCAAATATTATAGATTATTTTATTTTATGGATGAAGCTAAAATTAAGTTTTAAAAGTAAATATTCGCTCTAGGTAATAAAACAATAATGATCATTCATAGAGTAAGATCTAAATGAGAAAAGTTTTCTTTTATTATATATGTATTGTAATCGAATTATTCCAAAGAAAAACAATATATGATACTTCGCATATTAAGTAAATTATCTTATTGGTTACTTTTCTTTAATCTTACTAGTAATTACGAATTTATCTTTGATTAATTATTATATCATTTATTCAAAATAACAAATGTAGCCTATTGCTTTTCATGAAAAATTTATTGAAACTATTTTTCATTTCAAAATAAGAAAAGGATTAGCATTTTTTTAAATAAATTTTCATAGGAACAAGATAGAAATCTGCGCTTTTCACTGTTTAAAAGATGAGATGAAACTGTATCGAATCGTATAGACTAGATTTTTCTGACAAATTTTCTCAAGGTCTGTCATCAAGTTTATTAAAGACAAAACATTGTGTAATGTAAGTTTCAGAATTTTAATTTTTCAGTAGTTCATTAGAATAATTAACTAAAGATCTATAAATTATGTAAGTTTGATGTTGTAAGATTTAATCAATCGTCAGTTATAAACATTTCATTACATGTTCTCTACAGATTTTTCATAGAAAATCGACTAAGTTTTGTTTATTGAAAATTTTGCGAAAACCCCCATGATAAAGAACTGAAGGTTTTTTTTTCGCCGTCTGCCAATTACAATCTCAATATATTCTGAAAATGTCATGCGATTTGAATGTATCTCATCCAAGATCAGTACTTAAGGATTGGGAGGCTGAAGAGTGTCCTTCTTCATTTAGTGAGCTAAAATTTTGTTTTTTTTTGCAGCCATTATATAGTCTGCAGTAGTATCTATCTACGGGGTACATTTTGAAATCCAAAAATTCTCTCTAAATGTTAAAAAATCAAATTTACGTAAGACAAATATAAAAAACTGTACATTGTTTCGCATTTTTCTCACACCACCTTTTTTCATGGGAAAGAGTGACGAAACGCCCCCATCTTTCTGGCCTAATATGTTCGACCGAGCTGAAATATTTTTTTTTGCATATATTATACACTGGTTGGGGTGAATGTTTTTTTTTTTGTTTGTTTCAAAGAAACATCTGTTTTTAGAATACCTACGATATTTTGACTTTATTACTTCGAAGGACAAACAATACAAAGCCGCTCACGCCAAACAATGTTTAATGCCTGTAAAAAAAAAATTTTAGTTCGATCGAACACAACATTTTGGAGAAACCAGAAGGAATTTAGTCGTCATTTTTCACTATTATGGTCTAGAAAATTTCAAGTTTTTCTGATGAGCTGCTCTCCAAAAAACCTAGAAAGACGAGGGGGGGGGAAGGGAGAAAAGAATCTTTAAGGTCATGACATGCATTCATCTTGTTGTTCGTGGTTTTCGTTATCTAGTATTTTTAATATTGAATATAAATATATGTGTTGGACCTTTAGTGGTGTTTAAAATGCTGCAGAGTCTTATTGGTCTTTTGACACTGAATTTTTGTCGGAAACAATATAACACCTCCAACTATATATCAAGTATGGAATATGAAAAACTTTCAAAATAATTTTCTTCTTAATTTGATCATACCCAAATATCTTATGTCCTTGATGAATAATTATATGATTAAATATTATTGAGTGTAAATAATTTTAAAAAAAAATATATTATTGATTCAAATATATTTTTCTTGTTTTTCTATTGTTCAAATGACCACAAATATCTATATTATGTTTTTTTTTATTACGATTCATTAACATGATCACTAATGACGAACAATAAAATATGATTAATTTGCAAATGAAATTTTCATGCTCGTTTTTTTTTTCTAATAGATTGATGAAAAATAAGCAAGACAAAACAAAAAGCATGTATTGTATGCAGTCATATAGCGTCTATCTAAATAGGCAATATTGTAAATATTGCATATGCTTGCAAACCCATTGAAATGTTATGCTTGAATGATTTCCTTAATTTGTTTGTAGAAATTTTAGAATAAACTTCAACATATAAAATATATCATAAATATTACATTTGTCATGTAATTTTGCTAGAAAAATCCTAGTAAGAATTACTGAAAAAAGTTTTATTTTCTACACCAATATGATTAATCTATCATTATTAATATAGATATAATACAAGCCGTTAGCATGATTGGGATTTACGTCTCACTTATTGTTTCATTTGATAGGTTTATTTAGCACAAAAAAAAAATCAGATAGAAAATATGATAAATATTTGATTTCACATTCTTACTCCTTTTTTTTTCTTATACAGGTCTTTGTATATAATGTACACTGTTTTCTTCATGTGTCGCTTTTCGTTTGCGCATATCAATACAACAATCTGTACATGCTAGTATTTTTTTTTCTTTTACTCTCGCTCTCTCTTTCTCCATCTTTCACGTTATGATGATGAGCCGCCGACTACAAACAACATATATTACAGGTTATTATAAGTATTTGTCGCCAATTCGTTACTGCGTCAATGTCGAACTGCATGAGCGAATAGAAAAACGACGAGTCAATGACGAACACGACAACAACAGCTTCTACTTCCAACTCCACGTCAATGGGTAATGGAAATAAAAGAATCACTACAACTTCGTTCTCTGCTGATGATTTACATAAATATTCTACAAAACCAACTACCAAGGATGCATCAAAATGGTCATCAGTTGAAGTACAGTATTGGATCAAACACCAATGTAAAAAATTTGAATTAAAAAAGACTATAGCTGAGCAGTTCGAAATGAATGGTAAATAAAATATAATTAAAATTATCTGATTAGTATTATTATTGTTTTTTGTTGTTATTATATTTATGTTAAGGTCAAGCTCTAGTGTTGCTTACCAAACATGATTTTCTTAGACGCGCACCAGATGGAGGAGAAGTACTCTATTACGCATTACAACGACTCATCAGTTAGTATTTAAGTTCATTTTAACATTTAAATATTTGTGTTTTAAATATAATCCTAATTTTAGATCCAAATAAAGAAAACAATTCAGCTGATAATGATGAAAATATACAAAAAATCGAATCATCTGATAAACAACCTCGAATAGTAGAAGTTAACAATGATCATGACGAAGTTCATTATACAACGGATTCATCATCAACAAAACCAATTGTCGAAGAGCCTGACGATCCACCAAAAATTCGAAAATCACAATCAGATACAAATCATGACGCCAACCAACAGGAACATCAAAATCGTCGAAACTTTTTTAATCAAGCACACTTTCGTCCGACTGTTTTTGCCATGCCTGCCGCTGCAGCTGCTGCCTATTTCCAACAACAACAGCAATATCCCAACGGTTATATGTATGCACATCAATATCCACAATACCATATGCATCATGCACAATTTGTTCATCCACAGCTATTTCAACAATATTATCCAATGATGTCAGCTCAAGGAATTTTAATCGAAATAATGGATGATGCAGAAGCTACTCGTGCCGCTCCAAATGGACCAATGAATGATGCTCATGACTCATCACTCTTTATGGTTACAATTAATGGACAACGATATATCATGAACGAAACGCAAGTTATACAATTGGTTGGTGAAGTTTATCAACAACAAGCTTATCAAGCAAATCTACAGCAACAACAACAACAACGTTTTCAACAGCAACAACATTTTCAACAACAGCAGCAACAACATTTTCAACAACAGCAACCACAACAACAGCAACCACAACAACAGCAACAACAACAACAACAACAACAACAAAGAGTTTTTCCACAGCAATATCGTTTTTAGCAACAGTAACAACAATATACTTCCTACGAATAGCCATGCTAAGACAATGTCTATTATATATTATTACGTTATATGTAGGCTTTCTTTTTCATAGCAAACAAATTCTAATAATTAAAAATATGCAAATTTTAAAGAAACGAAAATAGAATATTTTTCATACAAGCCCTTTTTAGTGTTTTTTTTTTCTCTTTTTTGTTGCAAACAAACCATCGGATGGGTGACACTATTGTCGATCCCAATGATCTACTTGGACAGTGAGTTAACTAGCAATTCTTCTCTATATATGTAGTTATTTTTGTTTTGTTTATTGTTGTAATACATAAATGCATTCAGTTTTAAAATACACAAGCGTTCCAATAATTGAAAAATAAATTTAATTTTGAAACAAATTTCATATAAAAAAAGATTGCTTTTCATTTTCACAATTTTTTTTTCTTAGACTAACAATGCACATAAACCATATTTATTCACGTATATACTCTATTCAACTTTACGATTTTGTGAAACATAATCTAAAAACAATATTGAAGTATATAGGATAGAAATTCGCTTCATTTTTCTCTCTGCTAGAGACTGTGACAGGTGTTGTGGACATACAACCAAGGACCGTATATCAATATTGTCTCGTCATAATATATGAACTATTTCTTCTTATTAGATACCGGGAGCATTAAGTGAAAGAATGGTGAAGAAATGTGCTCAAAAATAGATGTTATTAAAAAATCTTCATGTGATTAGTAAGAGCAGCTATATCGTGTTTCACATTTTAATTCCTTAGGGTTACACTAACAAGCTTTTTTTATCTATATGTAATTCTTCTAATTTTGGGGCATAGCACAACCATACAAAGACATGCTGTCGAAAAGAAAATGCATTTATCAATAAACAAAAAATTGAAATGATTCTTCGATAATGTTGAGTGATTCAGTTTGAAATAAACAGAAAGTTCTTTTTTATGTATTCAAAAATTTCATTATTTTATAAATTTATTTCAGCTATCTAGCTTACTTTTTCTTCACAGACAATAAATTATATTAGATAGATTTCATTTGAAATTGAAAATATTACACTAGACCAAATAAATAATAAAATTAATAGTGCATAAGCAAGATATACTCTTCACATTCTATTAATAGTTAAATGTTTTTTCAAAAATTTGAATATATGTTGATTAAGAATTATATACTGTTGCTATTAGTTTCATTGATATAAAATAGTAAAAATAGATTGAACAGATTATACGCAATTTTCTGCGTACTTTCGATCATTACCTTTTTTTTTTTAACTTTCAATCTATTCAAAGAAGAATAAGACCCACTTAAAAATCCTATTGTCTCCAATTTTATCATACATTCTACCATCATATGTATGTATCTGAAATAGAAAGTATAATCTAGAGATTATTAAAAGAGCATACATAAAACTCATTTACAACGAGATAAACACATTTCCTATTGTCAATTTTTACTGCTAACAATACTTCAATAAGCCATATTGTAAAACTCTTGACAAAAGCACAAGAACAATAATGAGATGAAACGCACCAGTAAGCTTTAATAAATTTCATAAAAGGGATTAAGTTCATTAAAATGAGAAAATATCATTCATTATTTATTCATATATAAGACTATCTGTCGCTTCTTTTTCTAAAAAAAAATAAAGAAGATCATTCGACTGAAACAATTCAATATGATGTGAATCATTTTTCTTTCGAGAAAAATCTAACTGATAAATTTTTCTTGTCTAGGAATGATACTGTATCTCGTTCTCAACGTGCACTCTTTGCTGAATTTGGACGTCAGCGTAGCCGTCTTGATCAACTAGTTCGTTCTTATGATAGTCAACAATCAGCTCGTGATTCAGAATTACGTCGTCAATCTGAAAAAGTTGATAAAGAAACCCGACGACAAATACATTACCGATCACATACAGTTATGACAGAACGTGCTCGTGTAAAACATATTCTCGACAATAATATAAATAATTTATTTTCATCCGATAGTTCAAATGATATTTTTCGTTTAGAAACTCATTCTAATGATAGAAAACGAAAAGTTTATGGATGTTTATTACCACAATTAAAAGCGCCATTAAAACAAAAGTGTAATACTTGGACACAAATGATATCAAATTCGAATTCAAGACAATCAATTTTTCAAAAATATAACGAAAGTCAACGAAATTCAGTTAATAGATTTATTGAATCACCTATAGAACAACGAAATAAAATGAATGACATTATTGATAAATTTTTATATGAATTAGAAGAAGGTAATGGTGATGGTTACGATCATTTTCTTCAAACAAGTGAACCAAATCGAAATGCACAAATACTTGCACAACAAAATATTAAGAATAAAAATCGAAAACGAATTAATTGAAACAACAATAAAGAAAACAAACGACAAGAAAAAAAAAAGACTTTGTTGTCTATAAACACAGACATACATAATTACATCAATATTTATTATTGTCGACGTCAAAATATAAGGCATGTTCAAATTTTCTACATAACTTTTGATAGGAACAAGATAAAGACCTGTAATTTTTCCTATTCAAAAGATAACATCAGGTATCATAAAATTAGGTCAATTATATTAGTCCACTAACTAACTAATCTGATGAATTTTTGCGGAAAATTTTGAAGAAAACTTTTTCTGGAAAACTTCCCAGTTGGATTTCAACTTTCGATAGAAAAAAACTTTTCTCAGTTCCTAAAACACTCCGAAAAACGTCAAGATAGGATTAATTCATTTTTCTGAGTTGAACAATAATGTTTGTTTTTAGTTTCGAAGCGATCTAAAACTATGATATCAAAACTGTTGAAATACCGACTCTCCATGATATTGCATCAAAATGTCAAATTTCGAAAATCTCGATATCATACTTTTAGATCATGTTGAAATTGAAAATAAATATTACCATTCGTCTCAGTGTAATGAATTAACAAATTACTCATAAACATAACAGGTCAGGCGCGTTAGTTTTACATATATCAAAAGAGAAGAGTTTTTTCTATCGAAGATCGAAGTTCGACTGAAAAGCTTTCCAGAAAACACATCTAATCAATTAGTTTATGACCTAATTAAATTTAACCTGATTTTATGATGTCCGATGTTCTCTTTTAAATAACGGAATCCATAAGTCTCGATCTTGTTCTTATCAAAAGTTATTCGGAAAACATTAACCTATCTCAAATTTTATTGTCGATAATAATACTTTTTTTTTTTTTTATTCATTTTTTCAAGTTCTAATTTTCACAATTATGTTATATGTGATGAAGGATTAAATAAGTTGAACTTGATGTTTTTTTTAATTTCAATAACTAAATAATAAATCTTTGTCTTGTTTTAATTAATTCGCTGAACCATAAGCAATATTATCATGTTGATGAATCGAAGCTGTTTGACTTTCTTCAAGTTCATCAGCTTTTTTCTTATTCAGCAATAAAATTGTTGCAATAAATGATATACAACTTATGAAAAGAAAAAATATTGATGTTGGAATGATTGATTTATAACTTCCTGTCATGTCAAGAAGTAAACCTAAAAAAGAAAATATATTCTTTTTTGTTTTTCTCTTGTTACAATTGACACTTAATAGGCATTCATACCTCCAATAACAGGACCTACAATTGTTCCAAGACTCGTCACAATAACATGATAAACATAGCCTTGTTCTGTTCTATCTTCTTCAAAGATTCGATTTGAAACTGTATATTGAAGTGCTGTAACAACAGCCGGTGTAAAACCGAATACTATAAAGATATATATATATATATATATATATATTTAATAAATTTATGCTTAAATCTTCTAAAATTTACTTACATACGATTGGTAAAATTGCTATTGCATTTAAACTCGTATACAGTAGACCAAATGTTAATGTTAAAACGACAATACCAATAAAAGCACTTGTTGGAAATAAATAAATAATCTCAATAGGATAACAACGAACAATAAACGGTATTAAAAGACGAAATAATGCATCAAATAGACCAAGTAAACGAAACCAAAGATCAGCACGTGCAGGTGATATAAGTAGATATTCCAAATGACTATGCTAAAGAGCAAAAAAAAGAGAGAGAAATTTAATTTATTAATTATATTATTTTCTAATTATTAAACTGAATTTCAAAAATGAAATATACATATATATTTTTATTCAATAGATGAGCTCTAATGGATTGCTTTTATAATAGCGTGTGAATTAATATTGCTGGAGAAATAATTAATAGAATTGCTTGCATTCGTTTTTCTTTCTATCTGTGACTCTTCTCAAACACTTTTTTTTTTTGATTAAAACATACCAAATGAAGAAGAAAATTATTCACAGCACACATAGCTGAAAATATGCCTAACATCCAATAAATAACCGGTTTTGAATAATAAATTTTTCGTTTAGTATCTGGAATAAGCGTTGTCGATGGATATGGATATGGTTGTGATGTACTTGGTAAAAATTTTGTGGTAAAAAATGGAGTAAGTAGACAAGTGGCTACTAATTCAATTGTTGCAATATTTCTTTTCATTATTTGCCAACCATTTTGTTGAATCGAAGAAAACATCAGTGCATCCATAATATGATAACCTAGTGGAAATCCAATTGAAATAATACACATAACAAGTACATGTTTTGGATGTTGACCAGCTGGATAATAAAGACCACAAATTAATGTACCAATAATAAAAATAGATGCATTGCCAAAACCATATGGAAGTGAATATGTTAATAAAAGCCAATGAAGATTTCGAATAATTGATGAAATAAATAAAGATATGACACAAACGATAAGTGACAAACCAAATGTTATTTGAAATCCATATTGACGAGCAAAAAAAAGTATTAATGGTGCAAGAAGACCACCAAAACTTTGACCAATACTACCAATCCAACCTAAATCAATTCATTTATTTATTTGTTTGTTTTTGTTTTTTCTTTGTTTCATGAAAAAAAAAAATTAAAATAAATTACATACTCATTTCTGCATCGGATAATGTTGAATTTTCTTTTTTAAATTCAACAATAACTGTTCCATAACTCCAAGAAAATCCAATAAATATAATTCGACTTACAAGTGTTATCAGAACAATTAGAATACCATAATAATTTCGAAGTGAATCAAGATTCTAAATTTTTTAAAAATAAAACTTTTATGTTGATAATTTATAGGAATAATCCTGAGCAAATATTCTTCATAGATTACGATGTTTCTTCATCATTAACAAATAATGATACTGTTAAACATCTGCTGTTTTTTTTTCTTTAGCTAATGAATTTAATCAGTCGTAAACTTTTTACGATCATCTACATTGAATAATCGATTAAAATATGAAGTAAAAAAAACACATATAGTTTCATGACATTATCTGAATTTCTGTGTGTCTCGTACACTTATAATTCATGTTAATAGTAGAATAGAGCTAATAATCATCGTTAATTAGTTTAATTCTATCGAGAGAGTTCTTTTTCTTCTAGTAACAAAAGGATTTTTTACAGATTTTTAAGAAAAGTTAAGATTGAAGATACATACCATTTTTTTTTTAATTTTTTATATTTTAGACGAGTATTTGTAATGATGCTTGCGTCTGTTTAACCTGAGCACATAATAACAGTGACATGCAACAGAAGAAAAAATGTCTTCCGCATACTAATATATAGCGTTAGTTGTTGTTCTCGCTCCTATCTTGCCGCCGGGAATGAATAAGAATAGAGAGGAAAAAATGTAGAAAAAAAAAGACGGAGGCGGATCGCTATTCCTGTTTTTTCTTTTATATTGTCAATACGAAAGAAAAAAGAATTATGTTCAGCATCATCAATTTGATAGATCGATTCGAAAAGAAAAAAAAACTAAGAAAGAAGATCGTCTGGGAATGACCATTAAGCTTAACTAGAAGGAAAAAATGGAACGTATAGAACAATTTTTCCATCAGTAATTCTATCTCTTTTTTTCTACTCTAATCATTAATCGATGTGTCATTATTATTTACCCTTTGTTACTCTCGTATGCTTTGTATGCACATCCGATAATCGATAGAAAAAAAAGCAATATATGTTCACATGAATAGAACGTAAATTATTTATTAAACGATCTACTACGAGAAATTGTACGTTATTCTAAAATAAAAACAAATCAATGAATATTTTATTCAACGATTACATAATATTTCTTTTCAATTGGACAATCCTTAATTGAAGATCTATTCAGTTGATAGTCATGCTAACTGAACAGGTTTGACAATTATTAGAAAATTTCTTTGACATTTAAGACTAGCTAACACTAAGAGGAAATGCTGTACTAACCAATAATTTTACATGGATAATTATACATAGTAAATAATTTTAGACAAAGTTCATTAGTTTTATTGAGTTATAAACGAAAGAATAATTATAGATGCATTTTATACTAGCAGACAAGCAACTGTCAATCATATTCACACAAAGATAAATTAATTTTAATGATTTTTCCTTTTTCAAAAAAAAAAGCGACAATTTTTTAACCAATTGTACTCTTTATACAAAACATTTTCATATTTAGAGATACAAATTTTCGAGTGTTTTTCCTAGAATCAAGTCATGATCCTAACCTTCTTGATCCTGATAAATGAGTTCATTGATTTTTATTCAAGCGTATATGCTAATATTTTCTTCTTCATGACATTATTAATCTTGTTTTATTATTTTGGAAGCAGATAAAAAATTAAGTCGGCAATAGAAATCCTTTTTTTTTTTGTATAGTGACAATAACATGAAATCATGACATGACATTTTATTACAAGGAAAGGAAATACTATGTGTTCCATACTCATGAATAGTTTTCCTTGAAAAATACAAGTTTTATTTCATAAATACAATAAAATTTGAATCAGAATATCATAATATGTTTCAGCAAGTTTTTGAAATTGGAAAAAAAATAATAATTATAATGGATGTCACAGAAAAAATTAAAATTATAGTTTTTTTTCCCCCTATGAAACAATTTTAAATATTCCTGAATACATAGTAACTAATTACAAAATTTATTATTATTATTTTATAAAAATACGAAGATTAAACTAGATACTTGAATATGTTTTCATTTTTGATGAATGTTGTTTGGGGTACCACATTGTATTTTTCTTATCCAACAATGATATTTTGTTGAACAAGTGTCATTAAAGTTACATGCTTGAAACGAAGTAATTAATTCAGCACACACATACGCTTTTGTAAGCTTGAATGAATGCCATTGCTATTGTATTGAGATCACGTAAGTTGTGAAAATTACAGTTGAATAAATCAAATAGATCGAATACTTGAAATCATGATGAGATTATCCATGTTATTGTGTATAAATGATAGGTAATAAGAACGTGATACGAGAATATCTACTTAAGTAATGTGTGCGTAACATTTATTTAAATGTACATTTTTATTTTTTCTATAGCAAAATACTAAAATTTTTAATTTTCTCCTGGCTTCTAATTTCTTCTGAAACACATATAACTGAAAAATAACTCAATATTAGTGAAATACTTTCATATTACATCTCAGAATTAATCAGTATGATTAAGATACAAGAAGAAATGAAATACAGAAATTTTTACCAATGACATCTTAAGTAAATTATCAAAAACAAAAATTTTAAAAGGAATCAAATCTTAAATCATTAATTTACATAATGAAAAGTCAATAATGGCAAACTCATTGCAATTTCAATCATTTTTTGACTGATTCGTAGTGAGTAACATGAAAAACAATTTTTCCAGAATTATAAGCATTCTACAATCATTTGTAAATAAGTTCTTATTGGTAAAATGAATCGATAATTTTGAATTAGAATTAGAATCATTAATAACATATTACAAAAAGATAATGAAAACTAAAGATTTCGATTGGAATTATGCAGGACTCAGTGCTTTTTGTTCCGCTCCTTGATGTCAATCCAAAAATAGCCTCCTTTGCAAGTGTCTAATCACATATCATCTCCTTAAACGACTTGATTTTCAAAACGCTAAAAAAAGTCAAATCACCATTCAAAATGAATGGGTCATTTATAGCTTATTCTGCATCTCCACAGTGAAATGACCTTTACTGAATTAATTTCACGGGAGTAAAGAACTACAAAACTATTATGAATTCTGTAAACGCCATTGAATCGAATAAAAATCAAAGAAAATATAATTTATTTCATAAAAAGAAACATAATATCAATGTTATGCATAGAAAAAAAAAAGTCAAGTTCTTTCAAAATATGTCTAATGACATTTTTGTACATGTGTTTCATATTGCTGATGAACAATAGGTTGTTGACATTTTGGACAAACTTTACAACATGCCATAATATGTCGGATATTTGGATTAGTATGACACTCACAATGGCAAACGTCTTCCATCTTATATCAACGTGCGAGATAGATCAAATATTATCAATTTCAATGAATAACTGACGTGTATTTGAGTAAAAACTACATAATAACCTTACAGGTGATTGCTGTTTAAATGAACCAATCCTAACGGCATGACGTAAGAAAAAAAAAAGCGAACTCCTGTAGTTGGTGTTTCACCATGAATACGAAAACACGATTGTAATATATATTTTCTGAAGAGAAAAAATTACTTTTTTTCGTTGTGACTGTATACTCTCACTCCTCATACAATGCTACGAAATCTAGTAAAACAGAAAAAATACATTTTTCTCTAAGAAAATATAAGTTACAATATATGTTTGTATTCACGGTGGAACACCAATTATAAGAATACTAAAAGAAAGGTATCATATAGTATTTATTGTTAAACAAATACAGATATACATTAACCTTTAATGAAGAAAAAACAATTCTTATGAAAAGACAATAATAAGAAATTGTTTAAGTTCAAACAGAGAGAATAAAGGCAATCGTATATGTACAGATACCATATAAATATACATCACATGCACACAGAAAAAAAAAAAGAAAAATCCTTTTACTTAAATAAGATCATAAATTTTTTTATCTTCGTTATCCATTGTTATTGGTGAAGAATATGCAATAGCTGTTGAATAAAGTGGTGATGCCAATGGTGTAAAATCATCTGTTGTTGAATTAACAAGTGATATGCTACTTGATGATAATGATCTTGATGCAATTAATTCAAATCCATTTGTTGATTTCTTATTTGTTGGTGTTTTATCAACTGTAACAGTTGTTAGAAGTGGATCAATTATTGTAAAATCATTTGGTGGAGATTCGTGTTTACTAGAATAATATTTTGAAAAGAAAAGCAAATTTGATTTTTTTTTATTTAAAAAAAAAAACAAAATATAATAAAATCTCGACTTACCGAAGAGTTGGTACAGATGGATAAATTACTTCATGTGTTTTCATATTAATTAATCCAAATGAAAAATGACGCCACATTGGTTTATTTTGACTTAGTGGTTTAATTGATGATATAATATAATTATATTCTCTTGGTATACATTTTCGTACATGATAAAATTTTGAATTAATTACATGTGGTCGTGAAAGAATAATTTGATCTATATTTAGAGAAAAAAAAAAGATTTTATTTAGTTTTAGTTTTATTGTTCTTTTGAAATTTCTTACCAACACTATCATAATCAGCAAAACGTATAAATCCATAACCTGTTTGTTTAGAATTTTGTGAATATGAATTAATTACTCGACAATCAATTATATTTCCATAGGATTGAAAATAATTTATAAACATTTCACGTTTTTCACCTGAACATAAACGACTAATAAATATTTCATTAACTGTTAAATTTGTTCCTATGTATTCTGATATGTTATTTGTATTTCGACATTGATTTGGTATTGCACGATGAATATGAATTTGTCTATTATCAATAAAATGTGGTCGTTTTGACATTAAATTATTAATAGAATTTATTTCTTTATAAATAATAAAACCTTTACGTAATGATTGATCTTGATCATCTTTATATAAATATAATTCTTCTATAGGCCCATATGTTGAGAAATAATGCATTAATGTTTGTTCAGTTGTTTTATATGATAAATTAGAAAATAGAAGTTTTTTACCGAGATTTGATGACATTATTTAAACAAAAAGCACTGATAATAGTTTGAATATATGACTAAAGATAGAAACAAATGAATGGTTTGAATAAGAAGAAATAACAACAATAAAGATTGAAAACAGATGAAATACGTATTTTACTTTTGTTTTTCTCGAATGAATTAAACTGATGCGATGCTGTATGAACAAACCGATACGAAATGTTTAATATAGATGAATGAATAGACGCGATTAAAAGAGAAATATGAAAGGAGAATTTGTACAGTCTCGTCTAGCCAGTATGCGTTTATGTATTCTTTTTCTTTTTTCTTTCATGACCATTTAGGCAGTGATTGTGTATTCAGAGAATCAAAGACGACGAATAAATTCAATAAAAGAATATAAAAACAAAAGAATCAGTTCTAGATCTACAGAGAAAAAAAAGGATGAAAGATATGCATTGTTAAATTAAGTTTAGCTTAGATTTTTTTTTTCATTTTAAATCAATTAAACTGAATATTTTGAGTTTAGATTTATTAAAAAAAAACTAATATGTGTTTTTTTGTTTCTCAGAAAAGAAATAAATTGAGAATAATATTCATAGAAAACAAGGGTTAAATTATATTGATTAGAATACCTCATACATCAATTATAAAGTCGTCAATTTTCCACAAATAATATCCTACTCTTACTGTTATCATTATAAGAAAAATGTTCATTATATAAGAAGCGAACAGTCATTGTAAATATTAAACAAATTATGGATATTATATTGTACTTTTACGTTCAAAGTATGAACAAAATATTGTTTGATCAATCAAACATAATTATGAGAAAAATAAAAGACATAATATTAACCGTCTCGAATGTGTCTTTTAGTCTATCATATCATTTAAAAAAACGGATATTTAACAAAAATTAAAAAAAAAAGCTCAAAATTAGTTTTGTAATCAATCATCATCGTACCAACCACAACTAGCAGTTGTCAAATAAGTCTTCGCATTTGGATTCCAAGAAATAAGAGCAATACCATGATGCCATTTTTCTGTCCATTTAACACATTGTGTGTTATAATCAAAATATCCGACAACACTGCCATGAAAGCATCTTTTCCATTCGACTTGTCTTGTTAAAGGATTATATACACCACCAACTCCAGAATGAAATGCTGATTTCCATCCGATAATACTTGTTGATGGATTATAAACTCCATGAATTCCACCATGCCATTTTTTTTCCATTCAGCACGACCAGTAATTGGATTGTATACCACTGCAATTGATCCATTCCAATATGTACGCATTTCAACAGGAGCTGCTTCAAGTATTGTTTCATTGAGAAGTTCAAGAACTTTTTCGACTAAATCTTTTCGTCGATGATAAATTTGTTTTAGAGGTAATACAGATTGTGTTTCATGTTCTGAAGCTGTATGAGCAAACGTACGTTTCAATATATTAAATTATTGATGATACGTTTCTTTTGCATTTTCATAATCATGATTATTTTTAATTAAAGCATGTTGTACATCATCATTTCAATGTTGTAATGGTTCAATTAGTATTCCTTGATGTTCTCGTCGAGCAGTTTGATGTTGTGAATATAATTTTTGATAGGCATCAAATTGAATATCAATAGTTAATTCTGACAACATTGTCTTTTGTAAATGTACACTTAGAATGTCAAATTATTCATTAATTTCAAGGACAACATGATTCATATATGAAAAAGTATATATTTCTATAGATTTAATGACAAACCTATACAAAGAAACGAAAAAAAGATGTAAAAATAACGAAGATAAAACGCAGAAAAAACGAATATAAATAAGATGAATCATATATACTTTCTGTCATTCATCAACCACCTCCTCTGTACTAAAAACCGGTTTAAAATTACCTTCTAAATTGATAATACTTTCTCAAGCAGTTTTGTAAGATTTAGTATTGATTGTATTTGACAAATATTTAGCAATGATATGCCTTATATATTGAGATAACGTTAGATGTCTCATGTAGACTTGACAAATAAAAATTCGAAAATGAGGATAATTTATTTAAAAGATCAGTAAATGTTAAGAAAAACTCGAGGAGAAAATGCTGATGAAGATAGTAAAGTTAGTGATTGTGATCGTCATTGATGAATAGTTCAAGCTAATTTTGGTTATTTACCATCACGAACAATACCAAAACGAATTCGTCGAAATATAGAATATGTTGAAAAAGAATAAATTAATTAAGTATCATATAATTATGAAACTGAATTAAATTGTGAAGAAAAAAATCAAGATTCATTTCAATTAGATAAATCTTATTATTTAGGATTTTAAATGCATCGTCATATGTACCTATCCAGGTAACCGTTTTTCGACCTTGAACGCGTCTCTGAACGTCTATGACTTATGCAAATTGACGCGTTGGAATGTCTCGATAATGCAACATTTTGAGGTCTCTGAACGTGTTTACAGTGGGTAAGCGTGTCTTCCTCGCTCCAATGTTAACAGTATTACAACATGGTTATGCCAAAAGATCCGTTTGAACGCATCCAAAATGCAACAATTTCAGGCGTGTGAACGCATTCAAAAATCAAAACGCGTGCAACTTCATGTATCTTATAGACAGATTACGACGCGTTTTCGGATTTTGTTTCGTTTGGATGCAGTAGGAGATGAACGCATTGTGATGCATTTATTTGTCGCCCCAAAAATGTTAAAATAATCATCATCCCTGTGTCGAATGGAACCGATGTCCCATAGTAAGCTATGATATTATACTTAAATCCTGTAAGCATCACAGTGGTAATTTTACAAATCATAGCTTGAGCGAAGATTTGAACACACGACCAGTCGATTACGAACCGAACATAATTAGCTCTGACCTAAACACAGTTCGAACTTGTTTCTATGTGCATTAATCACATCATTAGCTTAGATAATGAATCATTGAGATAATTAATCAATCAATAAACAACGATTTCTAGAAGTCTGTCGATACGCTTTAGTAGAGTTTCTCTAGTGATCAATTTCGTAATGGATGCCTTTCATGTCCGATCTAGGTTAGATCACCTGTTCGATGCAAATATTTTTATATCGTTTGTCTCAATTATCTTTGAACCTTGATATAGAATGTGAGAACGAATTCCAGTGATATTTAGAGCGTTTATTCGATTTCGATTCGAAATTCGTTTTTCAGATTCTCGGCACGTGTGCTTCGCACCGCATTTCGTATTTGAGTCGAAACTTGAATGCCATCTACTTTATTTTAGCTACTATGTTCTAAATCTAATATAATTACACAATAGTATTTCCTCCAATCACAATACCATTGCAACGAAGATGTAGCACATGGGATTTAGGGGTGTACAGCTCACGCTCACGCTCGCGGTGAGCGTGAGCGGTCTGCGCTCACGCTCATATGAGCGCTCATGAGCGTGAGCGTTTCTTGTGCATCAAATACGGAATTGCCCCTGATCACTTTTATCAACTTTATTCCTCGAAAAACGACATTTACGGTTTCTGTACCTGGGGTCCCCCTCAGGTATCATGAAAAAAACTTTTTTTTCCTCACGAGTCAAAATCATATGTGCTTGTAGATTTAGGGGTGCTGATTATGAATATCATAATCAGAACTCTCAAAACTCTTTCATTACTGAAATAGTCCTAACCACTCTATGCACCCTTTTTTCATTATTGGCACCCTCGTAGAATAACTATTCACTAAAATTTAGCGGAAAGCATCTTTTCTAAACCAAAATTTCGAGTTCTCTACGAATCTGAACCTTTTATGCCGAAGAACGGTAACCTTTCAAAAAGAAATGACCATTCTGGTGCAGAAATTAACCCATATTTTTTAATATAGATTTTGTCTTTATGACTGTTTGTGAAGCCACTCTTGCTACAGCATGAAATTTGTACTACAGGACTAGTTTTTCAAGTTGTACTTATTGATAGAGGCGAAGATATAGAAAGAAAGGTATAATGAAGCGAAAAGCTCGAAATATACTCAGATTCGACCTATTGTTGTTGAATTTTGCTGAAACAGTATAGTTTTCAGCATTAAACTAGTGTTGTTAGAACACCATATTCGCATTAAATGGCTAGTTTTTCATTCCCTCTCGATTGACAGTCTGAGATACAAAGATAGAAGGGTGGAGCTGGGTCAAATATGTGAAATTTGAGAGGCTCGGTTCAGCTTTCAGTATATTCATCTATGTTTTTGTGATTTTGAACGTGAGAATAAACATACCAGGCCTTCGAATTCGCATATTATCGATTTCATTGTGATGCTCTGTCATCAGGATGCCNCTCTTTTTTTGTCATTTCTTCTGAATTTTGCTTTGATTGATGTGACTTATAACATAAGTCGCTAAAAATTATAGAAAACTTAGCTACAATTTTTAGTTTCTATTCGAACAACTATTTGCCTCATAGTTCTGCTCCGAACCCAGTGCATCTTTAATTTTTTGATCGTGCACATCTTTAGTCAGATGATTATTTAAAAAAAAGAATGAATAAAATAGAATATTTATGATCTCTTTGATAGGACCCATAAAAGACTATTAATTCATACAATCAGATTTCTTATCATGGATTTTCATACCCTATAAGATACGTCAAAATTCCATGTGAAGTTTTTCATTATAAACGTGCTTTTTTTAGGTGGTCAAAATAATCAGTACGTAATATAAAACTGACATAATCCAATTAAAACACTTCGTAAGTAAAGTCTATTGAAGATATCACAGATTATCTTTGCAAAAAGAAAAATCGACCTTTTACAATGTTTTGATGCTGAAATACAGGAAAAACCAAAAATTAATAGTAATTTTTTGTCTTATTCGTTAAAAGAAAATTGTTTTACTATGACAAATACTAGAAAAATCATTTAAATTATCTGACAATCTGTCTTTATATAGATAATACTTTATGTTTAATTATTTGTTAAAATATCAAATCAAATAAGAAGACATACATTCGTATTTTATTATGCATCAATATTGATTCTGAGGAGTAACTTATTTTATTCTTCAACAATTAGGAGCTGTAGTCAGCCTTCATGATAAATCATGAAACCTGAAATGTGTATAAAATTTTTATCTTATTACAATTGAATTCGAATATAAAACATTTACAATGTATTATAATTTTTCTTTTTATAATTGTAGCATCTATATTGAATGAGTCAATATGACATCTCAATTCACCCTTATAATCCACCATCACCAGGTCCCTATTAGAGAAAACACATCATTCTTTTACCATGTGCTTTGATGAAGTAAATTTTATTATTATGTTTTCTTCATAACATATACGTTTTCTATTCATTCATCTTGATTCTCTTTGATTAGATAATTATGTTAGTATGTTAATTATACAAGAACTTTATACATTAGCGACTGTAATTGCTTTTTTCAAAATATTCTGTTAGTACCTAGTTTTAAAAAAAATTATGACTTTGATTTTTTTATAAAGGTTACTTTTTATAACACGTTATTTACTTAATTAACTAATTAAAATTTAATTAGCAAAAAATCTCTAAATTTTATTACGGGTAAGTTCAAAGATTTTAAAATAGACGTTACACCATAAACTATGGTAACATTTTCGGCAAGATCGGACACCAAAATCCGGTTTCTCAGATGTATCCTTATGTCTTAGGGCAAAACTTTTTGTTTTATTATCACCTCAAGATGTACAATAAAGATTCTTACCATATGAAATTTATCTTTGAACCTCTCATTCAGTTACAAGGAGATTATCCGTTTTTATACTCCCACTTATTCACACCGCTAACACCGAATCAACTCACTATTTTGAAAATCATCACTTAGAGATTTTATAGCCTGAAGAGTTTTCTGATACATGCACTATTTCGTTTTTTAAAATATCTTTTGAGCTTGTAGTATTTATACACAGAAAAGCGTGCAGTAAAAGCCTTTTGTCCTCTCTTATATCACGTCACTAGCGCTAATCTTTTAATAATAATTCGGCATGATAAATTTCTATAGGACTAGATTTTTTACATTATCTAAAGTAACTCAATATACATACATCTAGAACATAAAAATTAGCTAAAAAATATTTCAGAGTTCAATGATATATGTATTTTTATTTTGCGAAACCATGTCACTGATAAGTGAAACTGTTCATATACAGAATACTAATGAGTTTATTTTAGATTATAGTTAAAATAGGTTTTTTTTTGTATATATAAGTTAAAATTTTATATATCATACATAATAAAAATAAAAGTTTAATGAACTAATATGTCATTGTCAAATGAACCTCGATGCTGTATCATTCTTTGAATCGATTGATTACGTGCAACAGGTCGTTGTGTTAATGGCAATAATGATGCTTTTTTTTGTCCACGTCTTCGTAATTTTTGTCGAATAAGTGTAATTATATTTTTAACAGCATGACTCATGATACAATAACACAATGGATTAATAACAGAATTTGATAAAGAAATTAATTGTAAAATAGGATTAACATAAAGAACAAGTGTCATTTTCTTATCTGTATTTGTTACATCTGATGAAAAAACAACATTTGTATTGTCCATTGTGTCTGATTTACTTCGATTTGTATATGTATTATCAGGTAAATAAGTATTTGATGTTATGTCAATATAAATAGAAAGTATATTGAATGGAAGTCGTGTAATAAAAAAAACAATAACTATAGAAAGAACAAAAATAAAACATGAACAAATAATTTCAATTTTTTTTGCTGTTAGAAAAAAAATATATATTTTACCTAAAGTAATTAATAATTTAACAACACGTCGACGACTTTTCAAGAATCGACTTGCATGTTCAACATCCACAGTTGACCGATGTTTATTATTATTATTATTTGTATTAGTATTGCTATGAATATTGCCATTTATTCTTCGAATTGTACTACCAAGAATTCTATTTTGACTTTGTAAAGATGTAAAACTTGAACGAAGTATTCCACTTGTATGTGGACTTGTTGAATGTCGACTTCGTAATGATATTTGTCTTGCTTGTTGAGATTGATTTAAATGGTTATTAGTAGTATAAGTATTTTCTCCAAAATGTCGACCAATAAGTGAAGATGAACGACGACATGTTGTACGTGCTATTGTTGTTGGTACTGTTGTTGTTATCGTTGTTGTTGTTATAGAAAATGATTTTGGTTTAATATCATTTGTTGTTGTACTTCGTACGGGTCGATTTGATATTAATTTTTTTCCGGATAAATTAACTAATAAACGATATTCATCTTTATTTTGATTTTCTTTTTGTTGTTGTTGTTGTTGTTTCCGTTTAGAATCGTTTTCATATCCTTTATGATAATGAATATAATATGGTCGATTTTTTGGTGATGTTTGCCGTCTAATTTCATTAATATCAATTGGAGGAAAATCTTCAGATATGGCTGAAAAACGGGCTGTATTTGTTGTTGTTGATGATGATGATGCTGATAATGGTTTACGAACATTTGAATCAATAAACCAAAGAGAAAAACTTATACGAATATAACAATATGTCATAAGTGTCAATGGTACAATGAATAGGACAAAAAGTAAAATAAAATCATATACTAATCGAGCATTCATATTTTGATGCCATTCTTCAGCACATGCTGTTAATGTTGTATCAAATGGATCAATTATTCGATGATGTACTATTAAAGGAATCATCAGAAGAAAAGCTATAGAAAATAAATCAGAATAAAATCAAAAAAATTAAATTTAAATAAATAACAACATACAAGCAATCCATATTGCTCCAATTATTACAAAGACTCTTGTTGATGTACACAATAATTTAGAATGAATTGGCTTATGTATAGCAATAAAACGATCAACACTTACTAATCATAAAAAATATAATAAAGCATTATCATTAAATATCATTTTTCTTACCAGCCATAAGTGTAAAAATTGAAACGGCTACGGATGCACCTAAAGATAGATTATATATTATCAAGCTTATAACATATGCAGAATTTCATGTTAGCATATTTAGAATTAGAAAGAAGCGTGACACGTAAGTCTTCAAGCATCCTCAGAGAATTCTTGTCATATAAGATAAATGATAATTTCTTTTGTAGTTTTCAACTGGATTACATATGGTTCTTTTTTCTTATGTTTGAGTATCAATTAAAAAAACATATAAAATGACAGAAAGAAAAACATTCTTTGCAATTAAAGGGAGGTCTAAAATGAAATATGTTTGTTCTTTTTTTATATAATCTCATACAATTTGATAGTCGTAATAAATTGAATTATCTTTGTACGCCTTTTCTCTTTCTCTCTTTCATTGTAAGATTCAATGCAGGAAGTTAGGCGACTTCTAATTTACTAGTTTATCTTAACTCGAAACAACATGCATCAACTTAATTTATTTGTGCCTTGACGCGTTCTTTATTTTTTTTGTCTAAAATAAATCATTGATTTCTATGCATGTGTATCTCTTAGAAGAAGAAAAAAATTTGTTTACCCTGCATGAATGGGACAAATCGACAAAGAAATTCACCAAATATCCAACGTTTATCATAATAATGATAAGCATTTGGTGGTATACAAATTAATGTTGCTAGAAAATCAGATATAGCAAGATTAAGTAAAAATCGATTTGTTAATGTTCGCATTCGTCGACATTTTATAATGACAATAATAACGAATATATTTGCAATAAGACCAATTAGAAATATAATAGCATAAGCAAAAAAAAGTATAAATGAAAATAATAACGATGTATTTGTATGAAAATTTTTATTCCATAATGAATTTGATTGATCAGATGAATTAATATGCGTATTGAATTGTTGTAACATATTTAAATCTGAAAGAAAGGGAAACATTATATTTGTTCGAATATGCATATATTAGTATTTATTTTGTTGTTGAACTGTAACTGATTAATTGAATAAACAATGAAGTAAGCGATCATTCGACGAAATGATCGATGAAAATGAAAATAGAGAAAAAAGATATATATGCATCGGAGAAGTCGAGTTACTTATTACATTTTATATATAATTTTTTAAGTATAATAAACAAACGTTACCATCGTTGCGATCTAAAACATGAAGCTTATGGAAGAAATCGAAGAATGTAAATAGATGCACAATAAGGCTCTTCTCTCCGTTCTATAATCGTAGTTTGTTTCCGGCCAAAGTCTATATATAATAACAATAAATCTAAGATAAGTAGAGAATTTATGAAATATATCTACTCATATAAGTTATATCAATATAGATCTTCGCAATATTCTTTTATGTTAAATCAACACAGAAAAAAGTTCTATTTTATGAAAAGTAAAAATAAAGAGGATGAAACTGTTAAAAATGTTCTAAAGACATTCAAAGTTTTTAGAAAAAAATAAACCTTTTTATAAGGTTTCATGACAAGTAACAATATAAAGTAGTAATAAGAAAAAGTTGTATTAGGCTCCTACTGATCTTACCTTACTTTTTCATGCAAGAGAAAAAAAAGGAGAGAGAGAGACAGAGAGACAGAGAGACAGCGAGAAAAGGATAGAAGAGAAAAACTATTTTAGATTCTGTTATTGACGACGATAATGATAATGATGATTCTTTTTTTTGTCAACGGTATTAGCCTCTTCTTTTCTTTGTTTCTTCTCCTCGTATTCTCAAAGAAACAAGCATATTAAAATCACAGTCATTCGTCATTCCATATGCGATTCAGATCGATATGAATGTTTAATAGGCAATTCTCATAGACATCTACTCGACGCACCAGCTTGCTTTTCCTTTTTTTTGTATTATCGTTTCAAATCGTGACATGTCTCTATTTTCCTTCAATGTTCTTTTTTTGTTCGTTCGTTGAAATCAAACGGAGCACAGAAAAAATGTCCTATAGAAATGACACTGATTGTCGAAATTGTCACCTCGACACAGAATTTTGTCGACTATATTTCCGATTGACTATTTACCGAATAACTACGAATGAATTATTGATATTGTAATAAAATATATATATATACATTTATAATTAATTGTTCATTTAAAAAAGTATACATGCCATTTTTTACTAAAAAATTACTGAAAACATTGTAGAGAAAAACGGTTCTTAAATTTCGTTAATATTTTATATGATTATAGATCTATTACTATGATTCTAAGTTTTGTAGCTTATGAAATAGGTATCATGGGCTGAGTTAAACAACATTTAAATATTGTATTAATAGAAAAAACGATTTATAATTGAATAAATTGAATGCTTATCAGAGTCAAACCACATTGAGTTTGAAAACAAAAAAAAGACTTCATCTAATTGGATTTTTTAATACTTTTCACATTTTAATGTTTCTTATCAATCACAACTCAATATAAATTGTAACTGTAAAGCTAATTTAAAAACAAAAAAGAATACATCGAACAAACACTCTGAAAAACATACTAGAAAGAAAAGAAAGAAGGAACGACTTGTGGCTTTAGAATGTGATCGGTCAAATACTCTCGGGACTTTTCTTTGAATATTTCTTTCATAGTATATAATATATTTTAATTGTATTAGAAGAAAATCGTAGGATGAAAGAGTCATTCAACATTCTTAGGAATCGTTTCCGTCTTGATTTTATTTTTTCTTCCATTCGTAGCTAGGGGGCTCATCTCATTTTCTTTATCAATGTTGTCATTCGGCATGAAATGAATATCGTAATTCAAAAAAAAAAATTCTCCCCCGAAAAAAAAAATCTCGAAAATAAGTCTTTGATATTGTTCTAATTCTATACTTAAGTATTCTTTAAATCGAATCATAGTGTAAATCAAGAACAATTGCATTAATTACAATACTTAAAATCATCTGAAACAATCAACAATTATATTCAACATTAACAAAATGTAATTCTGTTTTTTTTTTATCTATACAATTGTAAAAAAGACAAATTTTTACGTACAAAAAAATGAACAATTAATTATTAAGATCGATGTATATCTTTTTTTAATGACGATATCGTCGATTAATTGATAATTAATTCATTTGAAATAATTATATAACAAAGTTACATTTTCATCATTTCGTGTAACTTTGTGCATGATACAGATATAATTGAACGATGTCACACGGAACTTAATTTTTTTCTTCTTGAATAACATTATATATATGAATTTGAGTCTTATAGACATGAAGATTTCTGTTGCATGATTGTGCACAAATATTATATGCATACATTTGTGTGCATGCATGTGACATAAAGAGGCATGCAAATTTATCATGATTTGTCAATAATGTTTTTGTTTTTTCTCATGCTAAAACGCATTTTCAGCAGTTAGGGATGTTCCGGATTTTGCTTCGATTTCATGAGATAATTTTAGAATAATTATTTCTGAGATATAATGGTTAATTACTGGATATAAAGAGAAAATTTGATCTACTTCAATGAACTCATTGTTAATCAAACGTAAAAAAAAATATTTTTCAAAAAACTTCTTTTTTCTATTGGATTACGTCGACATTTGAATATAAAGTCGAGTGTTTAATGGATGATGCAGACTAAACGAGATAATATGATTTTAGGTTATTCCCATACATTTTTAGGAAGTCATTTGATAGAGAATTTTGTGTTTTTCGCTTCGAAGACTTTTACATGGTTCCTAGTGCTATTGTTCATGGAGAAAAAAGCTTGGAACTAAAATCTACTAATATTTTTCTACACATATCATAAGAAAATATGATTTTCAAAACGATGCTTAGCCTATGAAATAGTCATTGTCGTGATATTCGATACGGAATTTACTTCTGAATAAAATGTTGTGTCTACTAAGCTGAAGAGTACAAATGATTAGATTGTATTAGCATAAGAAACATAGAACAATCATGTCATCCTGTCAGACAAGGTTTTTTTTTTCTAGCGTTTTGCAGCATGATTATTCTCGAAAATATTTCTTTCGAAATTCTGAAACATATAAAAAAAAGATACAGAATTTTATAGCATGCTTGCTATTTCAAAACACCGTTATTAAAAATAATTGAATCGTTTTTCTTTTGCTTTTGATGATCGTAGTTGGACGATTAAGTGTGAATATTTTAAATTTTGCTCGAACAAAAAGAAAACAAAGACAACAATTTTTCAGAACAAAAGATTCTTTATAGAATGACTTTCTGAGAGCATATGTGCGATATGATATTTTCCCCTTTAATATGCGTCACCCATTATTGTATAGATTCATTGGTTATAAGTAAAGAAATGCAAATAAAATGATTTTGAGAAATAAAAACGAAAGAATTTTGAATTCGTTTAACATTCACTTTTTTTAATTTAATTTAATTTATACAGTAACATGTAAATTATTTTTCTTCATTGATTTTTTAATGTTTATTTCAAAAATAAATTTCAAAAATAGTTGCGATTCAGACTTTGTTGGTTTATGGCATGATGTGTATGTTCTTTTTCTTTTATAGAAGACCCAACTGACTTTGACTATTCGAGACTTTTTTCTTCTTGTATTTAATTCGAAAAGTAATTAATTCTGTTCTTCCAGTGATGCATGAAATGTAGAAAATTATCTACTCCACGTAATCTTGTTCCGACATCTCAAATTATCACAAAGAGAAAACATAAAGTTGTTGAGCAATTTTTATATCACGCTTGAAATGAATAGAAAGCTTAAGAAAAAAACAAAAGAATTTCTTAAACTATTCTTTTTTCGGTCTTCAAAAATATTCTTTTTTGTTACTATTACTCTCAATTATTTGTTTGATTCTCTATACATTTTTTTATGTACAATCTAATCTTTAAATCTCATCACTGTTGCTTGGTTGCAAGACTTTCTTCGATGTGCATACTTGTACATGAAATACTTTTCTTTTTTTTTTTCTTTTTCATTTAAAAAAAACAACAAGTATACATATAACACATCTATACTCAAAGAAAGAGAAAAATGACTACGGATGTTGAACGATCACGTTCACAAGCACAAAATCGTTTTGGACAATTATCTAAAAATATGTTCTTTGCAAGACATGTGGCACAGCCTAGATATTTAAAATTTATAACAGGTAATTCAATCGTTTTATTGAACTGAAAATTTCTTATTTTTATTTAAAATAAAAAAACACTTCAGGAGCTTCTGGTCAAAGAGTATGTCATGTTCGAGAAGAACCACTTTGTTTACCAATACCCATAGCAAACGAATATACAAAGCCATTAATGTCTGATCCACGTTTCCGTATTGAATTTTCATCACATTCCCACAATGAAACATTATTACAATCATATGCAAATAAAATTCAACCAAAAAAACGTCGAGAACGATTACTTCCTCCTATGCCTGGTTGGAATCCATCCGGAACGGTATAATTTTCTATGTATTAATTTTCTAATTGCTTTTTTTTTTAATTGTTTAATTTTTAGGTAGGTAAGTCTTTATTGAAAATAGAATATAATGAAATTTATTTTCTATTTACTACTAGTTGAAGATACAGATAATTGGAGACGTGAATTAGGACGTATTGCTGAAATGATTGGTTTTGTAACACCAGATGAATTATTAGAAATAGAAAATCGAAAGGAAACACCACCATCACCACCACAACTACCATTATTATCTGTCAGTAAAACACCGACAACAACTGGTCAGTATAGTCGACAATCAGGTCGATGGAATGAAACACCGAAATCTGCAAGTCGTTGTCGATCATCACGCCGACGAACACCACTGAAATCTATTTTACCTAATCATCTATTTTGTGTTGATGAACAAGAAAGAGAAATGTGGGTAAGGATCAATATCTAATATTTTGGAAACGTTCAATATTTTTTTCTTTTATTCATTTGTTCATTTTCTAGATGCTTCAAGTGCTTTGTCAAATATTACAAACGGACAACATTAATGAAATACAATCATGGCTTGTTTCTTCAGGCCCTAATGGTTTGTTCTATTTTTTAAAATACATAAACTTATTAATCAATCTTGAATCTCAATAGCAAAATAGTTGATCCTTTTTCTTCGCACGAATATAACTACTTATCACAAATGTATTGAGTAAAGTGAGAATTATCATCAGAGTACCTTCCACTTATATCTTTTTCTGTGCAACTAACTAGGCATGAATCAAAAAACTTGATTTTAGTTACTTGAATGTAATTCTTCAAGGTCGAGGAAATGAAAATTTGAGTAGGTCACAAGGTATCTTGCATTTATAGACAATGACAAAGAATAATGAGGAATCCGCTGGTCGGAAAGCTTTTTCAAAAGTTAAGAAATCGAGTAAAAATAATTTAATTCTGCTCATACCTAGTCAAGAGACGTGACAATTAACACGTCGGAGCAGCACACAAATTGAAAAAGGACTTTCTAAGATTGGAAGCTAATTCCATCATGTTTAATATTAAAATCTTGATGATAGTTCGTTTTTTTTTTCTATTCTCTGTGTATTTCAATATAATTTAATTAGAAAAAGAAGCTGTACGTCAACTTATCACAGCAGCAATCAAAGGCCTTGAAGAAAATGGTCGTATTCAAACTAGTAATAATTTGAATGAAAATGGAAAAGCAGTCCAAGTAAATATGGATTCATTTGGTTCATTATTAGCAAACAGGTATAATAAAAAAAAAATATCTAAATATTTCCTTTTCCTTTTCTTTTAAATGTATTAGATTTCCTCAAGTATCATCATTAATACCAGTAACTCCATTAAATGATAATTCATCGAGACCTATATCTCGTCCTCGAACAGCTCCACCGACACAAGGAAAAGTGCGACCAAAAACAGAATTTCATAGTAAATCAATGGGAACATTTCAAACAAATCTTGAATTAATTAATGAAAGTACTGAAACAACATCATTAGATACGAAAACAATTGTACCAGAATCAACAAAAGTTGATGTTAATTGTGATGTACAAATCCTTACATTAGATGATAATGAAGACGAAAGTAAAAAAACAACAAATCAACAAAATGAATAAGTACCATTTTGAATGGATACAACAGACAAACAAACAAACAAACGTTGAACTAAAACGCAGAAAAAATCTTTTTTTCTAAAATATTTTCATTATTTTGTAATAAAACATTTTCATATGAATAATGAATAACAGCAAAAGTCGGTAATTTTTCATCAAAACCAATAGTTCGAACGATTTACTGCTTTTTATATCAATTTTTTATAATTTCTCTATTACATTGGTATTTTCAGTCTTCAAAAAAACGATTTCAGTTTAAAAAAGTCGAAGTACTATTGAAGACTGATGAAACCCTCCTGACTAATTCATCTAATTGGCAGAATATATAAAAGAGTACAGATGCACGGTGTCGCTGATCTGTAGATGTAGTCTGCGTGAGAGCAGCCGATGTAGCTGGTACAGGTGGCTGGAACTCGCTCACTATATGACGAGGACACAGTTTTGACTGACATTAACCGTTTTTCTCGGTTTTTTTCTAGCATAAAGGACTTAGACAGTGAGCTGATGCTACCTCTAATGAGCTTAATAATATTCGACCATTGAGATACAAAGAAAAATTAAACAAAAGAATCACAGCTTTCGATTAGTTTGAATGACATGAGTATATATCCTAACGTTCGATGAATAAGAAAAATTCTCGCTCCTTTATTAAAGTAAGTACTGCACATAACATTCAACCAAAATTGACTTGTGATGAATAATATTCTGTTTTCGGTGATCATATTCCATCTTACAATACAGTTGTTTGATGGTCAATATTGTTTCGTGAAGGTTGAGAAGTGTTCGATGTCTTGTCGATGCGGATCTTCATCTTACAATTGATGAAATACAAGTGGAAACTGGTATAAGTAGCACCACCACTGAAAGTATTATTTCTGACTATCCAAAGATAAAAAACAGTAAATGTGTGTTACGTACTCAACTTCCTGACTGATAGCCAACAAGCCGAACTGCTTCAGCTCTGTTTGAAAAAATTTGACGAAAATCGAGTAAGTACTATGGGAATTATGTTATGTAATGTAATGTTAAGTGATGATTCAAATATTTATCATAAACAAAATAGGTCGAACATCGTCAAATGTTGCTTGGACAACAATCGATAGGACTCCATCTATCGTGATTTGATGCAACCGCTTTGCTCCAAAAACATTTTTTGTATCTTTTTCAAAGGAATTGCTACCATGCTAATCCATCATTTTCAACAAGGACAAACCGTCGACTACCACTATTACATCGATACCTGCTTGAAACCCATAATCAATGAAACCTGAACGAAAATACCAGCATCTATTACACAAGCCAAAAAGACTTCACCACAACAATACCAAACCGCATGCTCCGAAAGATGTGTCAAACTATTTCGAATCTGGAGGAATCAAAGTTATTCGGTAACTACCGAATCTTCTGGACCTGATACCGTCTATTTTTTTATTATTCGATCTAATCAAACAGAATTTAACTGATTGAGGCAACTGGCAATACTTATGCCTTGTTATAACCAAGATTATGACCTCGCACAACAAAGATGACTCTAGAAGACAACTGTCAATGAATGACTTGAACTAACGTAATTGTGTATAAATAACTAGGGGCATTATTCCAAACATTTGATCAAATAAAAATCTTAAATAACTTTTTTCTATGTTGTATTTCTTCAAAAATCTTATTACTTTTGGTATGACCTAAGTAGAGAATTATAAAATACAGTATATGAATCATTTCAGACAAAATGGAATATACTTACCTTTCATTTGACTTTGATTCTTTTCAAGGGGTGTTTTTCTGAATGTTCTTTTAGCATAGACATATGAAAAAAATATTGACTCTTTCAGATGACTATCAGTTAAAACTTAATTAGTAAATGTCTCTCAAACCATATGAGAAAAAGATTCTGAAGAAGGGTTTGTTCTTATTGGAATTAATTTTGAACTTCTCGTTCAGTTAGAAGAGCATTTTTTTTTCTGTGTAGGTTAATAATTCGTTATGTCACAAACGAAAAGTATGCCGTTTTTTTTTTAAATTTAGACATGCACAACAAAACCTTTGTAACCTCAGAGATTCTCTACAGAATCTACTATTTAGTTTTCAAAAGTACTAGTTCAATTCAGAGTTTTTTTAAACTAAAATGCACGAAGTGAAAGTCGACGTTCTTTACTGTGCCTAAGTTGTCAACGCTAGTCTTTTTACCTATAAATCTGAGCAAATGTTTTTAGCGCTGATTTTTCTAGGATATCTATAGTAATTTAACATACATATTACATGTAACACTTAGCTCTAGAAAAGTTCATTACCTGGCAATAGACATATTTTAATTTTGCGAAGTCACATCGCTAACGATTGATTTGGTTCATATATGAAAATATTGCAATTGAATTCTTTTCAAAGTTTCATTTGTAAAAATTGACTTGTAACTCATTTAAATCTCTCTCTCACTATTAGACAGTTTTCTATTATTACTCGAAAAATATCATTAACATGTGAAATGATTTAATTACAATCGACCAATAGTCTTTATTCTTTCTTGTTTTTTTTAGCTATAATAACATCTTATTCATCTGATGCATCGTGAAATTAATTTATTTATGGTTATACGACAACATATCAAAGTCTACTTCAATCATTATCATAAAGCAATCCTTTTGTTCTAAGAATATCACGAAATAATATAATTATCACTTCGACTGCATTTAATAATCACCAAGAATGGGTGCAGAATTGTTTTCTCAAAGTTGGAACAAAAAAACATGTTTCGCATAGAATTGATAAAAATATTTCTAGTTTGACTTATTGCTTGAAAAGTTTCAACTTCTGAAGAAAAAAAAAACAATTTCTATTTATCATTTTTTCGATAATCATAATTCAATACCACTATGGTTAAATTATTCATCCACAAAAAAAGTAATCAACTAATGGCAAAAGCTACTGATATTTAGAGTTGATCTACTAATAATAGAGTGTTGGCGATAATTGTTCAAAAGTTCAAAGAATCTAATCATTTTTCCATTTGTTATTCGTTAAAATCATGAATAAGACAATTTAGTTGATTCCGTACGTTGATGTCGTTTTTTACGTACATATAAATGACTGATATTGTCATCTTGATTAATCATTGCTTTTTGTGTCTTTTGTAAACCCATGACAGCTGCTGAACCAAGCTATAATGAAAATAACATAAAAGGAATATTTGTAATTATAAGAATAATGTTCAAAGGAAAGCAAACTTATTAATGATTATACTAATACAATAGAATAATATTTACAACAATTGGTCGAAAAAATGTTCGGTAATTCAATTGATTAGACATCTACGAATAGTTTTTTGTAACTATTTTGACAGTAGAATGGTCGATACGCTAAATATTATTCAAACGCATAATTAAATCATTCAAGAGATCGAGCGAATGAGATCGATAGTCGTATATGAATATCAAGAAAAATAAAAGCAAATAATTTGTAAAAAAACTCGATGAATAACTATATAATCGTCAATATGACTTTGAATAATTAAAATGCTGTTATTTTTAATAACTGATGAGTTTTGCACGAATTTTTATCTTGATAAGCGGTTAACTTTCTACGATTGTAGGATATCATCTATTGAATACTTTGTTTTTTTTTCTTAATTACATAAGATTTATTTGTTGCATTGACAAAATGAAACATAGTTATCCATGGTTTACGTAAATATTCAATATCATGATGTATATATATTTGATAAATAGGACATAAACGATATAGATAACTATCAATAGCAATAGTTAAATTTTCTTCATTATAACGATCAGATAAGCAAGCAATTAAACAAGAAAGAATTCGTGTTGAACGTCGAATAATAATATGACATATATATTCCATATGAATTAAAGTGTATTTTTTAATTTTTTTTAAACCTAATTTATTTAAATATGGTTTTAATTTTGAATATTTACCTTGTAATATATAGGAAACAAATTTTAAACATATTGAACCATGTTCATATAATTTTGATTTTGATAATAATATGTATGGTAATAATTGTTCATGTATACATAGTTCAATAATTAATAATCGTATAATTTCAAGTAAACATGAATCACATGTAAATATATCAAAATAATTAACATTTAATTTGTTCATAACATATATATCAATAGGTGTTAATAATGTTTGAAATAAAGCATGACTTTTAATTGATTTATTTGAATGTATAAATTGAAAATTAAATGAAAGAATTGTTTGATAAAGTGCACGTAATTCAAATTGTTGAAAAATATTTTTTGAACGTAATATTTCTGTATCTTCAACAAATGATAATTGAAATGTATGATTAAATATAAGTGATATTAATGTATTTGGATATTCAAATGCAACAGATATTAATGCAGCAACACTTTCTTGTATACATGCTATTAAATTTATGTCATAATATAGTATATATTGTTTAATAGATTGATGAAAAAGTTTAATAAAATCATGATTAAGTAAGTCAGGACAGTTAAAACGACTTGACCAAGATAATATTTCAGCATGATTAAGTTCATTTTGTTTTATAGGAAAATGTAGAAGTAAACCAAGTTGCAGTGATCGAGGAAGCTTTTCATTTAATGAGATCTAAAATATGTTTTTTATTAAATAAAAATCTTTCGTAATTTACAAAAATTGATTGGATCATGATAAATAGTTAAACTAATTGCAATAGTTTATAAAACATTTTCTCAACATTTTAGTCTTTTGTAATGTAATCTTTTTTTCTCGAGCTCAAGTCGGACTTCTAGTTTGAATCAAATATATAATATTCGAAAATTTTTGAAACTTGTTTATTTTATTAGTTGAAAGTTAGTAGTTTATTTTGAAATAATGAAAGTACTGATTCTTGTTATATTAATTGATATTTTTTTCATCAATTTTTAACAGAAAATCAAAATTGTAGAATAGGAATTCAGTACGTTTTCATGGTTTAAACAAATGACAATACTAATATAAACTAATAGAGAAGTATCGTTGAGTCGATCAAACCAAATGTT